GCAGTTTCCATCACCCCAGCCCTGCCTGGAGGAGAAAGTCGAAGAGGGCCAGGCGACTCCACTCGCCACGTGGGATGCTGGAGCAGGGAGCATCCCCGGCCACCAGTGTCGGTCCACGGGGCTGCAGCATCTCCTGGTACTGCAGCCACCCCAGGGCGCAGGAGTTTTGGTCATTGTTAGCATCCTCTAGGTGCCGGAGGTCGGGCACCCACCAGATGATGGGGCGCAGGGAGCCGTCGGTGTAGCTGTAGGGCAGGAGGTGGCTGGTGAAACGCCGGGCCACGGCGGGCAGGCTGCGGTTCAGTCCCAGCACCCTGTCCAGGTGGAAGGCCAGCACCTCGTAGAGGTCCCCGGGGCGCTTGATGAGCCCGCAGCGCCCCTCCCGGCAGTCCCCCTCTGGGCTGGCTGGCGAGGCGTCCCCCTCAGCATCCCCCATGGCCCGCAGCCCCACTCGCAGGACTTGCCCGTGGGCTGGGACACGGGTTTTGGAGACCACCCGCCCACTGGCCAGCAGCTGCATCTTCTGGAGGTCGTCATTGGAGAACCACAGGGGGGCATCCCCCACCACCCCTTGCCGCTGCCTCCTGCCCCGGCCAGGAGGCTGGTCCTGCCACAGGCGAGCAGGGAGCATGGGGGGCCTTTCGCTGCGGGCTTGTCCCCCAGATAGGGGGGTGGTTGCCTCCCACCGGGGACCGGGGGGGGACGATGCTGGTGGCAGGTGGGGGGAGCAGTCCAGCGATGGGGGCAGGCGGGCCAGGGCCAGCAAGGCCAAGGCCAGCAGCACCCCGAGGGCCGCCGGGACGGGGGGCTTTAGCCCTGTCCTTCGCCACGGTCGCTGGGCCTGTGGGGAGAGAAAGAGAGAGCATTACTGGGGGTCCTCATGGGGTGCTATGGCCCAGGGATCCCCCAGACCTGTGTGCCCCCCATCCCAGGCAGCGCTCTCGATAAGCTTAAAGGGGTTTGCTTTGGAGGAGCAGTCCCTCTGCTTGTGTGCTCCCCGAGAAAGGTGTTCCCCAAACACTTGCCGCCTCCACGTCACTGTAGCAGGAGAGGTACGGCTGGTGGCATGATTTGTGCCAGAAATTAGCTGCAGTCCCTTCAGAAGCCAGTCGGAGCAAGGGCTGACCTGCCACAGACGTTGCCATGTCTGCAGCACTGATGCACAGGATCACCTTATGGGTGATGAATCCTTCACAGTCAAACATTTTGCTTTAAAGACTCAAGAAATGAAAAAGAAAAAAAAAAATAGACCAAACCAGAGCAAATTCCTGGCTGGATGCAAACGCTTTCCAGTTCCTAAGAGGTTTTTATCTGCAGCCCTTACTCCAGACACCCTCAGTGACTCCTACTCCAGTTGCGCACTCGGCCCATAACCCGGATCCCCGCGCCCTTGTTCAGAGGATGTCCCAACACGTGCCCAGACACGGCTTCTGGAGCTCTGCCCACCGCTGCGTCCGGCAAAAGCAAAGCAGCTCTAAGTGCCAGTCGGGGGCTGTGGCAGCCTATATTTAAAAAGGATGCAAACTGTTGTATCTGAAACCTAAAATTTTCTGATTCCCAGCACCAAGGAACTGCCTTTAGACGGGTACTACCAAGTTTTGGGGTATATATCTTTATACACACAGCTTTCCCCCCACACCTTTAGTCATGATTTCTACTCTGAAGGGACTTATAAAAATTATATAGGCTGGAAAGGCAGTTACAAGCAAACACTGTGCAAGTCTCCCCGCATTGCTAAGCTCATATCTCCCCTTTGGCCTAAAGAAATCCCATGCCTACAGCGCTGGGGCTGCCATGAGCACAGCACCTTCCCGTTTAGGGTGAGGTGGAGGGAAGCGAGGGGCAGTGCTGGGAGAGCCTCCCAGCCCACCCCATCCCCGGGCCACACTGCACCCGTGCCACGTTCACCCGGGCTCGGGCGGTCTAACATGCTTCGGGGGGCTGGAGCGGCAAAGGGCACCTTGGTGCCACTTCTCCGCTTTACAACAAACATTTCCAAGTGGCTCGAACACACGTTGGAAGTCAAGGCAACATTCAAGTGGCTACATTTTTTTGCAATTATTTATTTTGGAAGCACAAGTATATCCATGGCAGACACAGTGGGACAATATATTGCCAAAGAAGGGATAAGAGATTGTTTATAAGAGGAAAAGCTTGGAAAAGAAGAGCTATAAAGCTGGGGGGGTGAAAGCCAGCAGCCAGAATGACTTCCAGAAGGCAGCTGGGCGAGCAGAAACATTTCCAGCCACGGGGCTTTTAGGACCGCAGGCTCCCGCTGGCTCCAGGGACCCACCACCAGTACGACTCCAGCCCTGAGAGGAGCTGCCCCAGGTGACCCCAGCATGTGAGCCCCTTCATAAGCTGATCCAGCACTATCCTAAAATCCATCAGGCTTTGTGTCCTCACTGTGGGGAGGCTGCTTCAGGCCCTGTGGTGAGGAGCCACATCTCTCCCAAGGACACTGCATCAGCCAAGGTGGACGAGAGGAGCTGCAAAGCCACCAACTCACTGGCAGCAGCCATGGGGGTTTTCCTTCGAGGTCTCCCTCTCAAGGACTGAGCAGATTTAATGCAGCTTATAAGAGGTAGCGATGGTGCATTTGGAGTGATTCAGCTTTACAGCTCTCGTTTAATTGTTTCTCTCCTAGAAATACAATGTAGTGCAGCATTGTATTTCTGCTGGGCCAAATTCTTTGCTCACACACAGCTTACACTGGCCTCTGCCGGGAGCCAGGGCTGTCTGGTACAGGGCTTCGGGACCTGCTGGTGGACTCCCCATTTTAGCTCTCCCTTAAAGCCCCAGAGTGAAAAGGAGCTATTCCAGGGTGAGACTGTTCAGAGACTGATGTCCCGTCCTAGATCACAGGCAGGGTTATTCAAGGCTTGGTATTAACTGTTCCAGGCACCACACTACATGGCTAAATTACGGCCTTAAGCCCCTTTCTGGGCAGGGGATGAGCATGAATACCCCCAAGCAGCCCCGAGGGGCAGCAGGACTTCTGGCAAGTGGCTGGTTATGATGCTTCCCCAACTCCCTCCCGCTTGGATGGGATAATGATTTGCTGCAGACCCATAGCCAACGCCAACTAACACAGGTGGCACCCGAGCTCAGCTACCCAAAACCTTCATGCCCTGGATTTCAAGCAAGTCCTGCAGAGTGCAGATGCATGCTTATTCCCAAGCACCCACAACCCAGGTCTGGCATCCTGAGCAAGAGTTTAGGGGAAGTGAAATGTCTAAATCACAGTTTAACCATAGTAAAATAAGGCTGTAGCATAAAAAGACCAGATCCTGATATCCTTACTCCTTCCAAGTCATCACCATAACTGCTTCACAGTCTGTCTCTCCAACTTCAAAGTACACTGAACTAACTGCAGTGACATCTATGGAGTTAATCCTGATGGACAGGATTAACTGTAAATCTCAGTACTCCCATCTGCATCCAGCCGAGTTTCCTCCCCAATCCGTGCTTCCCTGGGCACTTGTCCCAGCGCTTCCCCAGTCCCACCCCTCTGGAGAGACACAGCCCACCCCGCCCTCATTAAACCCCCCCATAACCCTCTTCTTCTGCACGGAGGATTTGCAGGGTGATCGTTTTTGTTATCCCCCTGATAATAACCCTTTGGTTGTTTACACCATCCCTGGGCATACAAAGAGCCTGGCTGCCAAAAATCCAAGTATCCTGGGGGAGGTGCACGCAGGAGCCATTTGGAGAACCTTGGAAATACTGCAGGAAAAATCCTTTTTAATCCACAGCTGGAGAGCAGTGGATGCCAAATGGATGGCAACGATTGCTGGGTTTTTAATGTCAAGTCAGTTTAGAGTCCAAGTGGTTAAAGCATCATTACTGTCCAAACCCACTTTGTCTTCTCTGTCAGCGAGCTCGGGTTTGGGCACCGCAAGTTAGAGCTTCATTTCTTTCCCACCCCGAGGTTGAAATCCTCTGCTGTGAAGCTGGGCGAGGGCCACCGCAGGCTCCCTTCCCCAGCCCCGTTCAGGGTTTCTCTGCCACATCAACAATTAAAAAAAAAAAAAAAAACGTCCAAATACACTCTCTGGGTTTTTTCTGGTAGCCCGTTTCAGGTTTTCCTTTCTGCCACATACAATTAAAAAAAAAAAAAAACGTGCAAATACAGTCTCTGTGTTATTTCTGGTAGTCAATATGGCAAATTTAGTAAGAATCTTGATGATAGAACATTGCAGAAATAATACTGTATTTACAAGCCCAGGTTAAATACTTTTCAAAAGAGACTTTCTCTGAGCCCATGCTGTAAAAAAAATGCTGCAGTTTAAGCTATGGCTTTGATTCAGCCTGAAATGCAAACCATACGTACGGCTCTGCTTTGCCAGTGTGACATACTGACAGTACAGCACGTCTTTGCTAGAAATTAGGTCCATTTCCTAGCAGGCAAGCTACAGGCAAAACCCATAAAAAGGCTTAAGAGAGGTACTGCTTGTTCCAGGATGCCAGTAAATAAATAATATATATCCTCGCTTATCAGAGGGACATACAGCACAGCCCGGGCTCCTGATGGCATGGTGGAGAGCCTGTGCAGCCTGGCCACTCGGATATAAAACTTTCTAAGTGTGGTTGGGAGGGTTTTATCCTTGACATTGTATTCCCGGGATGTTTGAACCTTGGCAGAATTTGAAGCAGAGAAGCCTGTTTTCAATTTCTTTTCAAAGTGCATCAAATTGGCTTTATCAAGCTTGAAAGAAAAGAAAACAAACCCCAAACTTCATTATCCAAGAATGTAAGAAACAGCCCTAAAACTAGAAGGATGCCATGGAAATACGTGGCCTTTAAGAGCGGGATGGATCCCTGCTTTCCTCTGGCGTCCAAAACAGTGCTCTTGCCCCTGCACTGGCATCACAGACCCCTCCAGCAGCAAATCCCATCATCCCAAAGAGGTGCCTGAGGGATCTGGGACGGCTCGGCCATGGCCATGTCCCTTTCAGCTGCCTGCCTGCCCTAGACTCCGGAGCTCAGAGAATTTTGCCACAGGCCACCAGCCAGCAGGTTAAAAGCAGGTATGTGCATTTATCTGGATGCACACCATGCAGGGAATTTTTTGCAGGGATAGTGCAACACACAGAGTTGTACTTATCCTCCCAGCACTGTGCACGCCACCCACCCGATGAACCGCAAAACCACGCAGGCAGCAGGAGATGCAGCCCACCGTGACCAGTTTTAACAAAGACTGCTTGAAAAGCAACTGGAAAACCTCCTCTGGCTGCCCACCACCTCTGGGAACGTCTCCAGAGCCTTGTGCCCAACACGTGGTACTCGCGGCAGCTCCCAGCACGTTGGGGAGAGAGGCTGAGAGCAGGTACGTCAACCAGATCCATGAGGGGAACAACCCTTTCCTTTTGGTTTTGACCAGGAGTTTTTTGGCTTGTAAGGGGATGGCACATGGGCTAAGCTCACTGCTGGGGACCCATAACCGTGCTGAGGACGTGGAAGGAGACAAAACCCCTCCACCCCCAGAGTGACTCTGGGCAAGCCTGAGCAGAAGGAAATCCTTGGCAGCGTCCGTTGCCCATCATTCAAGTGCTTAAGTGCCTTCCTATATCATCCTGCTCGGGGAAGATAGATGGCTTGCACAGCAGGAATTTACTAAAGACAGCTATTAAATTACGACTGCCAGCCTTGAAGGTAGCTCTGGCTCAGAGCAGGGGGCTGGGCTCACCCTGCACAGCTGGCCCCGGGGGGACCACTGTGTTCCCCCCACACATGGGTCCCACCACCACCCGCCTGCACCTGCACCGCCGCCGGGTGCAAAAAACCGACGTTCCTTCACGCAGCCTCATGATCCATCAAAGTGGCCGTAATTCCTAGCAGACCTGCACCAGCTGTGTGTCTGGGGTTGTTTCCACCAGGGATGCCATTTTTTTCCTCCAAAATGCCCTTCAAGGGGGGGATGACCATGACCCCACTGCATTTCAGCACCCTGCAGACACCCTGAAGGCCATCCTGCTCGGTGCCAGGGCAGGGATGCAGCAGGCAGGCATTGCCTGCCGGCTAAAGGTGCCCCTGCAGACCCGCTTCCACACGTTGCTCCCCATGAGTGGCTTGGGAAGCTCAAGCCAGGCATTGCGGAGGTGGGAAGGGGGACTGTGCTCCCACAAACCATATGCACAGCAAA